GTAAGTGATATTTTACTTTCCATCATTTTGTTCTCCTGTTTAGTTTCTTGTTAACTTATTTTGGTTGCTCTTTCTGTCCCTCTCTCTCATCTCCTCCCTCCTCCTACCTATCCTTCTCCCTCTCTCCTTTCATACTCTCTCCCTCCCTCCCTCTTTCTCTCTCTTTCCTCCTCTCTCTCTCTTTCCCCCCTCTCTCTCTTTCCCCCCCTCTCTCTCTTTCCCCCCTCTCTCTCTTTCCCCCCTCTCTCTCTCTTTCCCCCTCTCTCTCTCTCTCTCTCTCTCTCTCTCTCTCTCTCTCTCTCTCTCTCTCTCTCTCTCTCTCTCTCTCTCTCTCTCTCTCTCTCCCCCCCTCTCCCCTTCCCCCTCAATCTCTCTCCCTCTCTTCCTCTCTCTTTCTCCCTCCCTCCCTCCTTCCCTCTCTGTGGCATGTCATCAATCAGCTGTCACAAGTGACCTTGCCTCGCTCACCCCACGCTTCCTGCAGCTGGCGTCCCCGCGCCGCGCTCTGGTGGACGCTTATGTTTTTGGCCAAGGATGACCCTGGTTTACAGAGTTCGTGTCCAGCGCTTGTCGTGTCAAGGGCGCCGCCTAGCCCCTGGCCTCTCAGGGCTGGAGGGCAGGACCACGCGATCTCGCACTCAGCATTTACCCAAGACTCGTCTCGCGTGTTACCCTTACATGTGTTGTGAGTCGCACATACGTTAAGTATCACTGCTGTTCACCATGTACTTTTTACAGCGGGTAGCAGCGTGATAGTTGCGTCCCTTTGGCTCGCAACACGGATATACAATCTCAGAAATTCGCTTCCATGACGGCCATGGCTTCAAAACCACGTTGAGTACACGTTTTAAGCCTTATCCTCTTTTTTCTCTATCTTTTCCCTTAAATGTGTTAAGTTGTATGTGCAGTCACTCACGTTGGGTCTTGTTGGGCAAAGTGGTAATTGACAGTAAATGGCACCTCTCACTTTCTTTTGACCTAAGATCGCATTACTGTGATCACAGTATGTTGTCAACAAACATGAATATCGTTCATTTATTAAGTACTTAATTTTCTCGTTATTAGAGATTTATATTGTTTCAACTACAATGGATTTAACGCGTTCGTTATGTTATCTTTACTAAGATTATCATTTCATTTATTTCTTTTCTCATTGCACATGACCTCAGAGTGTCAGTCATAAATCATGGAAACCGTCTAGTCATTTGAGTGACTTGACCTCACTTTCTCTCACTTCCAGTCGATTGACACGTGAAATGGCTTGAGAGACAGCTGGCTGTTCCCATTAATTTGATGGATTGACATTGCTTGCGCCATGGGGAAGATTAGCATCACTGCATTGCTCATTTGGTGACACGTTCCATCGGCGCTGGAATGGAGCTTGTAGCACGATTTAATATAAATTTATTATTATGTGTATAGTGTTAGCATGTTCCCCATATCATAGTGCACAGGGATACCTGATATAACCCGGAGTTGCGTATATGCCAAATAGATCTACGCTCCGACGTAACAATTGTAGGTATAGGTATAACCAAAATTATTTGTAAATAATGTAAGACTAGAGTTTAAGCTGAATCGTTATTCCCTTATTAATCACACCCTTCTCGCTCTCTAGAAGTCGCTGGCAAGTTTTTGGGTAAATCACAAGCGATCGTGTTGTTGACTTCAGTGTTCTAATTTTGTATTAGTTCCATTCCTAGTTTATCGCATTGTTGGTAAAATGAATGTTAATCTCCGTGTTTGGCATACATTTCCCCTCTGTGAGGTCACTCTAGCTTTCATTCTCATTGACGCTCCCTGACGCTCATACGCACAAACACACTCACTCATCCATGCAGAACAAAAGACACTGAAACCTTTCATTAATAGGGTTTGTTGCGGTCGTAGTTGCAGGCGTAAAGCAGGCCTGGCCCTGAGCATTTTAGCAGGCGAGCGGTGCATCGCTCTCCTCGTTAAAGTCAGGCGGGCGATTTTCAATCTATTGAAAATCGTCCATAAAAGTGTACGAATAAACAACAAATGCAACATTGGTATTTAAACAGCTAAGTTTACAAAACAAGATGACAATTCTCCAACAGAAATAAAACAATAGTTTCATATAGTCACAAATCAACCACATTCTCACAAACAAGGTTTGAACAGAACCAAACTTAAATCAAATAGCGTAATTTTATAACATTAGTACAAACTAAAAGTCATTCGAAAACTGGCATTTTGATGTTCAAGTTCAAGTTCAAGGTGATTAATGTTATTTTGAAGTCAAAACATAAGGGATTAAGTTCCTGTCAATATTTTAGTTTTAATTCAAGAGGTGTCGAGAAATGAAAGGAAAACCAAGGCGGGCGGTTAATGTGCGAACTGACATTGAGGCGAGCGATGAATAGCTCACCTTGCTAACCCGAGGCGAGCGTGGAGGCGTGTGCGGGCGATCGCCCGCCTCAAACGGCCAGGTCTGGAGTAAAGATCTATGACGTATCTTTTTTGCCCACTAATTTGT